TTCGCCGTTTCCAAAAACATGTTTCAGAAATTATTGTCTTCTATGTTGAAGAAACAAGATTGATTTGAAGATGACGCAAACATACACACAAAATAAGTTAAAATAAGGTATAACCCAGATATTCTGGATAACTACTATAAATGACAGCTTTTTAATTCCGCAGGAAAATATTATAAATCAATGAATAAGAATAATGTTGATAATAATGCTAATTGTGAATGCAAATATGTATAATTTGGTGAGAGGATTCATTTCGTTCCAACTATACGAGCTGGCGTGTTTCGATTCGGTGACGTGATCTTGTGCTCAGTTCACTGCAGACATTTAAATATGTACTTTGGAGCCGTCGTCCGCTTAAACATCTCCCTCAGGCGACTAGAATCAAGGAGGTTGTTAGATGACTTCCATCCTTCTTACGCTACCGCAGTATCGGTGTAAAGTGGGGGGAGGGGGTTAATGAGCATTAGGTGCTGAGAGCATTCATTTCGCTCGAATGGCACCACATGAAGTATATCATTGGTGTACGGAAGTTTTCCATGCGGTTTATAATTTCTAGTTCGAGAAGCGGTCCCGCGTTTAAAACCATGGACCTGTGCCTGCTTAAGTAGCCCCCATATGCGTCTAGAAGCAAGGGGGCGGTGCAATCAGCTGATGATGTAAAGTGAAAAACTAATTTTACTTTCTTTACACTGTGCATTCGCCCTTTGATTTCAGTATCATTATTAATTTTAGAGTTTTAATTTATTGGATAAAATATAGTTATGCTGAACTCTCAGACATGGACTACAGCAGAGATACCTGTGAAAGTCTTGGCTTGCAGCTGATGCTTCTCTGATCGAGAAGCTGCAACTGTAATACTTCCAGAAAAAAGCGGAATAGCTACTACTTGTCCATCCGACCGGCGGAAGACCTCGGGGGCGACCAAGAATCACTTGGGACAGGTGTATGGAAGAAATATACTCTAGACTCCGGTCATTTTCTGACGATGTTCAAACGCTGGCACAGGATCGGGACGCTGAAGGCCTGTCTGGCGCATTTGCCTCCCACCCAAAGTAATTAGTGGCCATCGAAACTGAGTGACTGGTTGAAATATAATTTCAAACGAAGACAAAATATTAAAGTCATTAAATGTTAGATGTAAAATAATTTGTATTGAAGGAAGCAAATGCAGAGCACCTCCTTTCTCTGGAAAACAAAGTTGCATAAATCAAACGCTAACAAAATACTGGAAAGAATGGCAAAAATATTATGCGGAGCATGAAGAAATAGTTTTATTTATGGTAAGACAGAAGTGACGTTTTCCTTGCATTATTTTCCCAAGATTTAATCCTCGATTATCCATTCCTTTGCTTATCCGTGATCTTGTGAACGGTGAAAAGAGTTTAAAATGAGCGATTTGTCGTGACTCAGAAACGCAACATGCCTTTGGTCTAAAGAAATACTTGCAAAACCATTAGATTGATGACAGTCATGTATTTTGCTTGGTGCAAAACAGCAGTGCATCAAAATGCCGAAAAGCTAGAAAATGAAAATACTCGCTGCTCGTATCATCATGTGGTACGTCGAAAAGCAACTGTGGAATGCGGCAGTCAGTCAGAGAACGAATGGGTCCACCAAACAGCACAGCACAGTGCGTTGCTGCTGCCCGTCATTTGAGGGTGGTCGTTAATCACTCTCCGCCGCCGGTGGCATCTCGCAACATAGGTTTCAGCCGGATCACGAGACAAACAGATGCGGTAGAGCATGCGAGCATGTGACGATAGTTTTTTTTAAAGAGCCAAAAACAGCTGCAACGGTATGATAAGAGAAAATTAATGGCGAGTGCCAACTGCCTCGTGGACACGCATTCGTTGACGGACGAAAACTCGACGGAGGCACGTGCGAAGGGCGAACCACATCGACGTCCAGAGCTGGTCGATGAAAAAGCGAATCCGCCACATTGTTGGGTTATATTTACAACCGATCTGCCCATGCTGCCGCTTGAAGCCATTCTTCGGAAGAAGGCATTCATTAACGCCTGTCGTGGTACTGGTTCTTAAACAATGTTAGAGTTGAAACAGCACTAACTGTAGGCACCATTCAATCTGAAGTCGTAATTCGGCCTGTGTGACACGTGCAAGCAAGCTCACTACACGTGAAGAATTATACAACCTATAGTTTTCATGAAATATTCATCAAACTACGCTGGCTTCACTAGTAACCTGCTAATATTCAATCAAGTCTGTATAAATATCAATCTTCTACAAAATCTATTGGTTTACATGGCATAATCGCACGTCCTCGCATTTCCTGCCTTTCAAGTCCACGACTTAATGACAACCGCAGGTTCAGTGTGTGAATGGATATCATCATCGCCTTGTTAGGGGTTGGAGAGGGATGTATGCGAACTCATTCCCATATACCTCGATGCATTGCTTGTGTCCGAGGCAACTCATTGACACAGTTTTGCTTCCATGCATTGCATGTGCCATAAATCCATGGAGATAGGGCATGCTTCAAAGGTCTCCTAGGTCGCTAGGAGCAATTTATTGTTATTCGTGTTGATGTCAACCGCTGTAGACAATTTTCTTCTAAACAACTCAACTAACTCGCTATACCAGGGCTTCCAATAGTGCCAACAAAGAGAGCCGTATACGTTGCTTGCAGGCGTCAACCGAGGCTTATGGAAGGTCAGTCATTCTGTTTCCTGTCCAGTGTCTGTCTAGTTGATCCCATCAAAGCACAGTTATTTTGGACTATTGCCGGCCTGATAGGAATCCATTTCTTCATTGTCTGATCTGTTGATTTGCATTTGTCCATTTGTTATATCCATGTCAGCAGCTTATTAAGCCCTAGGATTAACTGCAGCAAATTTGACTCAATAATTGACTCAAATACGCGTTCAGACGCACGTATGTTAGATGATGTTAGAGCATGCTTTTTATCTATCGTAGTGATGCCGCTTTGCAGACATTAACCCATGAAGCCAAATATAGTTCTACAACAGGTTAGCACTAACCTTATTACAGGTCTATGCGACCAATTTTGAGGGAGAATATGAGGCCTTCCTTGAGAAAGTGTAGCGTGCTCTGTCCAAAGTGCCGAATCCAGAGCCCCTCATGGGAGATTTTAATGCGCACGTGACTGGAAAAAACAGCCCTAGCGACCTCAACAATAACGGCATGAAGTTGTTGCGGTTTTGCGCAAAAAACGGACCGTCCCTCATTAACGCCTTCTTCGAGCATCGAAAAGTGCATCATACGCCTGGTACCGGGAAGCTTGTGCACAGAAGTCGATGATCGATCGTATCGTCTGACCTGAGACGCTCAGTAATGAATGTTCGTGCTAAGAGAGGCGTAGAGCTATCAGGCAATCGCCACCTTGTTGTTGGCACGCTGCGCTGTAAGAAATGGAGTACCATACGAAGATCCGGTGGCAGAAGGAACCGGAGAATCAAATGAGAAACATTGTCTTCGGTGGACATGAGATCGAAATTTGCAAACAAGATCGCACGACGGTTTAAACAAATCCCAGCGATGACAACTGATGTTGAAACCGAGTGGCAGCTGTTTAAGAGAGGCCTGCTCGAGGCTGCCGCCGAATGCTGCGGATATGAACGGGTTGGCCTGTCGCCTGGAGGTCAGCAAAGATCTTCATGGTGGCACGAGAGGTACGACTGGCAGATAAAGAAAAGAAAGCAGCGTTCAAGAAATGGCTTGGAAACAAGGAGCCATCTACACGCGTGCGATATGTCGAGGCGCGCAAGGCGGCAGCCAAAGCACTGGCAAAAGCCAAGGCTGATTCCTGGGAAAAGTTCAGTGAGGTGTTGGAGTCGAACTTCTACACAAAGTATTCTGACAGACCATCAGCCAATTCTGAAATTAAAAGAAGTGCAGTCTTAGAGTGTTAAAGGACAGGTCTGAACACCTTATTATCGAGAATGAGGACATTATCGACTGTAGAGATAATACTTTGAGGAACCGCTTAACCAGAAGCAACTGCAGAAACACTGCTGATAGTGCAGCAAGGAACGGATATTGCTATTTCTGTAGATTGGATTACACAAGCTGTAAAAAACGTGGATGGTGGAAAGGATGCTGGAATTGATGAAATCGCTCTGAAGTCCTGAAAGCATTAAGCGAACAGGACATGCTCTGGCTTACGAGTGGCTGTCAAGCAGCAATCACTACGTCAAAGATACTGATGAACTGAAGAACGGGAATACCCCTGTACAGGAAGGGAGACCACAAACAGTGCTTCAAATATCGGGGCATTACATTATTGAGCCTCCTACATTAAGCGTACGCAGAGGGGCTGAAAAGAAGATACCATGGAATATGTGATAGAAGAGGAGTATGGCTTCCGGCCTTGACGAAACGAACCTGACCAGATATTCGCCAGATTGTTGAAAAATCGTGGGAGCTCGCAGGTCCGATGTATGTGCTTTGTAACCTAAAAAGCTTCTGACCAGATCATGGGTAACAGTCTGTGGGCATGCCTGTGAACGTTTGAGATCGACGGCTAGTTGCTACGGGCAATCCAATTACTACATATTGTTAGCAGGTGCTGCGTCAGAGTAAATGGCGTTAAGTCGAAACTATTCAACGATCGCACTGGTCTCCGCCAAGGCCGCATCCTGTCCCCTCTCCTGTTTGTGTTGTACATGGACAGAATAGTCCAGAACAGCCGAGGCAATGAGTGCATCGGTGT